GATCAACACATGTAGGTGCCATAAAGTTATGGAAAATTCACTTTAGGTCATGGAAAAAGTCATGGAAAAGTTTTGAAATTTTGTCACTGAAAAAGAGTACGAACCCTGTTACTGCAACTGCAAGTACAAATCTTACCACTAACCAGGATTATAATGGGGTTAATGCTACTGTTAATTATACTTCAACTTTACATCATGTTTAAATATGTAATATTTGCATCTTTTTTTTTTTTTTTTTTTTTTTTTTTTTTGAGCAATTAAACTTGCTTAGTTTTTTTTTGGTATTAGTTTAATCTATAACACACGTAGATAACTATTTCACATTTTGTTTTGTAGTCTAATAATTGAAGTGGGATGTAACTGTAACTTTAACTGATAATGTTTATTTCTAATGTTTCCATAAATAATAAATTGCATTATCATACAGTAAATGATAAATTACATATGCAATAATCAACAGATACATAAAAACTATTCTTTTATGTTGCTCATCATAACTATAATATCCACAATAGAAACAGAAAAAATCAAAAATAAAAATCAGTTGTACCGAAAAGGAATGGGGAGAAGCAATGCTAAGGGATCTGTCAAGTAGCAGGTTTTTATTAATTTTGTTTCTCTAAATGTTTATAAAATGTTTGAATAATTGCTAGTAAGTACACAACAAATATCGTCACAATACAAAAATGTCACGCTCCATTTTGATACTAAGCAATTCTACCCTACAAAGGCAAAAGAGCTTAACTCCCCAGAGTGTGAAACTAAGAAAAATGACTTTAAAGTTTCTGTTTTGTCCAGACAAAAGTATAATAGGTAGGGCTTCCAAAATTTGACAGCTCATTGCTATAATGAAGAAATATTTGTATGTGAAAAATATTGAGCTCAAAATTGACCTTTGCCCCTTATGTGTTAGTTCCTGTTCTCTGCCTTTGTAACATCAGCCAAAAATAAGGAGACGTGCAAAGGCAAAAGCCAAAAGGCAGTAACTGTCGTGATCATAATTTGTTTGATTTTCTTGACTTCCATCCATTATAAGAACACGTCACCAAGGTCGCGTCATCATGGGGTTTGTCTGAAATGATACAGAAGAGCTTTGGATTTTGGATTTTAGTGCTGATCAGGATCGTGCGGCGACACTTGCACAGTGAAACAGTTTGACTTTGTAGTATCGTATGTACAGTGTGAATAAATACAGGAAACACCTTCACATTAAGATAATTCAAGTATAATTGAATACAAAGGTATATTTATTATAGGTTTTAGGTTTATTATAAGTTGAGACCCTGTGCCAAGGCCGCAACAAAAAGAAGGAGGCAAAAGGTTGGACTTTAAAACAAAATCACAAACAAAACATACACTGTTACTCATTTTTTCTTTGCACGACTCCTTATTTTTGGCTTTTGGAGTAGAGGAACTGACAAATAAGGGTCAGAGGTCAATTTTGAGCTCAATATTTTTTCACGATATACCCCCAGAATGACACGAGGTTACGGCTGCCTTTGTAGAAAAGAATAGACTCTACACTCAATACCAATTCCAATACCGTGAAGATTCTGTAGACACTTGATGAGGATTCTCGACATTAAATCATAGTACCTTCTTTTATATTCCATGTGGTCTTATATTTCCAAGTAGGTTCCTCTTGTACTTCTGATAAAGCTCAAGATCATTCCAAAACGATTCGAGAAAGGCTCATTTCTGTCCTGTAAATCTGACGTTTTTATTATCGATACCCGCTCAAATGACATCTAGTTCCAGTACTCATTTTAATATCGATTTCTCGATACTTTTGACCGCCCTACTCTGAGCACAAGATCACTCAAACATGCAGAAATCAATCAAAATACAACTTTGGGTTAGCTAATGAGGCAGAATAGATTACAAGCCAATGGAAGTCAATTTTGCATAATGCGTCTCTTGAAATAACTCGAAATACCGCCTGTTATCTGCAGTTATTGAATTTTATCAACGTGTGGAAGAGACAGTCCCAGATGGAATTGGATTATCATGAAAATTCGTATAATTCCTGGCGCAAACTGCATTCATTCAACACGTACGGTATGAGGTTCGCCGGCATTGACTACCATTGATCCTTCGCAAAGTGGTACGGGAGATCCGACCACATACAGGGTACTAAGCTGGATGCGTGTAGATTAGAGGAATTACTGTATACCTTTGATTTTTTTTTTTAACGATTTATGGCTTCTTTACCGTCATAAACCCATTTGAGCGGCTTCGAAATTTCTCCGCGAGGGGAATGAACAATGCAAAATTCATAGCTGTCAGCAGAGTCAAATATGCAGCACATACCTTATCCCTAGTAACCTCCCACCTCTATTCATCTCGCATCGAGGCCATGAATATTGCAGGAATCGTACTCGCAGGTTGTGTAGAAATTGTGTCAGAGCATCTCTTTGCCCCGGTGATTGTCAAACGGGTCCAGCTTGCAAGAAAATGCCCGTAAAGTAGTTTTGAATGAGATCGGCAACGCTCCCTCTCCGGTCGCATATGACATGAATATATTTAACAGAATAATGGAAATTTGAATGTCACTGCGGTTCGGAAATTTTGCTGGCGAAGTACTTTTTGATTTAATTCGCGTTTGTCAGAGAAGAATAGTCGTATGAGCCTAAGAGCTAACCTGGCTTTTTTGGAGAGGTTCTCTGATTATGTGGTTCTGCAATTTTACATTATTTAGCAGGCTGAGTTGACAAAACGGAATATCTTCAAATGATGACGTATTTGCATATCTTGTGTTATATATTAAAATCTCAGACTTGATTTTGATGCTCTTAATCAATATTCGTAACATAAAGAACATATTTTTAGACAGTAGAATGCAGAGGTGGGGGCTTGCAATTCGTGACTTGGATTCGAGTCAGACTTGAGTTACTGTTTTTACTAGACTTGATAAAATGGACTAAGACCTGGGACTCGACTTGGACTTGAAGGTCAGTGACTTGGGACTTGACTCAGACTTGAGACCTGTGACTTCAGAAGACTTTAGAAAACTTCAGAAGCACTTTTAAATCTGAATTTGTTCTATTCTGACTGTAATGATTCACTCTATGATTTTGTTAAGACATATAAAAAAGAAAATAAAAAAAATATTTCTAGAACTCTTATATACTCTACAAATACTCATATATAAATATTCTATGATTTTTATTTATTTATTTTTTTACAGTACAGTTTATCTCAAAATTAATATAAATTGCAAAAATCTAAGTGGTACTTTGGTTTAAAGACTTGAAATGACTTGAAGCTCAAAGCAGACTACTTGGACTTGACTTGAATTTATAAGCCAGTGAATCGAGACTCGAATTCGACTTGCCTGTATTTGACTTGGGACTTGACTTGGACTTGAGGTCAAAGACTTGACACACAAAAAGTAGTAGTGTCTTTATTAATTATCACATGGTCTAATAATGCATGTTCAGTATTGATACTAATAATGAGTATGTATATTGTTAAAGCCCCAGTGTGTAACTTTTTAGCCAATAATATTTTTAGTGATTCAGTCAGTGTTTATTGCACTGAAAAACTTGTATCTTTACTCTGAGTGACCTTGCATCTCCACAAGCCTGACACTTATTTGTCCTGGTGAAGGCCTACTTCAATCTGACATTTTATAGAATAAAACATTTCTATCTCAATGGAGAATGTTCCGAAGTATGGTTTTAAATTTCTGTTTCCATGGAATCATGCAGGTGACATGAAAGTTCTATACTGTACCTTTAAGAAGTACCATATGTTATTTTATATACTTCAGTCGTATTTATACTTCGCATTATTTTTTTTTATTTGGTCATTTTACAGCACTTCAAAACAAAACAAAACAAAGCATAGACTACAAACTCATGGATTATGAACAAAAGGGTTTAGGCTGAAGTAAAAAGTACTTATAACATCAAATCCTATTAAACAATGACAGAATTCCAAGAAAGAAAAGCAGCAAGTTTACATTTAGAATTTCACTGACAACTTACTGTAAATATAAGAGATAAAACATATATTAAAACAAACTACATTTAATGCATAATTCATTCATTCCACTCTTTTTTTTAAAGGCTTCTACAGTGTTAGACTTTTTTTTTTTTTTAAATCATGACTCAGATTGTTCCATATATTCACCCCCAAACAGAAATTCAATCTTTTTTTTTCTTTTTAGTTATTATTTTCATTTTTTTAAAGATGACAGTTTTGTTTTTGTTTATTGGCCTCACAAACCAACAATAATGACAAAGAATGCACAAAATTCATCGTCTAGGATCACACCAAAACAAAAGGCGATGTCAAAGAAAAGCATGTGCCCAGACAATAGTCGTGGTTTACTTGTGAAGACAATATATTTAGTCTTCTAGGTATTTCTGTAAGATTAGATTTTTATATTGTTTTATAAAGTACACCAAGTTAGTCCAGCTTTGATATGGACATTTATGCTGTTCTATAAGTTTACTCCACGTCTAGTAACACATGGTTTTGAGCGTGGTTCAAGAGAATTGTTTTTGTGACATCACGCAGGGATGTCTTACATGTATCTCTATTGGACTGTTCATCAGTTACAAAAAAAAATAAAAAATGTCTGAAAACTCAAGGTCCTGTTTGGGTGTTGTATTTTTCACTAAAATGGTGAGAGTGACTAACTGAAAAACATTTATCATTTATTTTACTTTTTTTTAAAAGCACAAATCATCTAACCTGTTGTAGTTCCAACTAAGTCAGCTCTTTTTGGCCAAATTGTGTTAAAACAAAGCTCATATTAAGTCTGACTTGAATAACAGAGCTTCTAACTGAGTTGTGCTTTCAATTAGTTTCACACCTCCAGGGAATGTTGATGACATCAGCCGCAAAGTATCAATAGTTATTATTAGGTTTGATATTTTTACTATAATACTCACTATTTATTTGAGCGATTGATTTTTAGGTAAAAATTTCAGGTCAAGTGTTTGGTAGACTTGAGACATAATTCGACTAATGTGATTTTTCTCTCTGTGTCTCCTCAGGTAACCGATAAGATGGCAGCCAGGGAAGCGACTGGGCACAGCTACCTGGTGGCTTGCTGGCAGCCCATCCTGATCCTGATGCTGGGCTCTGTGCTGTCCCCGGCCTCCTCCACCGGATGCCCTTCCCGCTGTGAGTGCAACCTCCAGGAAAGCTCCGTACTGTGCCACCGCAAAAAGCTCATGACCGTCCCCGAGGGCATCCCCACGGAAACCAAACTCCTGGATCTGAGCAAGAACCGGATTCGAACCATCAACCCGGACGAGTTCGCCAACTTCCCCAACCTCGAGCAACTGGAGCTGAGCGAGAATACCATTTCCACCATTGAACCGGGGGCTTTTAACAACTTGTATGGTTTACGGACATTGGGGCTTCGTAGCAACAAGCTGAAGCTGATCCAACTTGGCGTATTCACTGGTCTAAGTAATCTTACCCAACTGGACATAAGCGAGAATAAGATTGTGATCCTTTTGGACTACATGTTTAAGGATTTGTACAACCTACGTTCCTTGGAAGTTGGGGATAATGATCTGGTGTTTATTTCCCATCGGGCGTTCCATGGTCTGAGCAGCCTGGAGCATCTGAGTCTGGAAAAGTGCAACCTATCCTCTGTACCTACTGAGGCGTTCACCCACCTGCACAATTTGATAACCCTTCGCTTGCGTCACTTAAACATCAACATTATCCGGGATTATTCCTTCAAGAGGCTGTACCGACTTAAAGTTTTGGAAATAGCCAACTGGCCTTATTTGGATACGATGACCTCGAATTGTTTGTACGGATTAAACCTCACTTCTCTGACCATCGCAAATGCAAATCTGACCACAATTCCCTACGTGGCCTTGCGTCACTTGGTCTACTTGCGTTTCCTCAACCTTTCCTACAACCCGATCCATACCATTGAAGGAAATAAACTCCATGATCTTCTCCGCTTGCAGGAGTTACATTTGGTCGGGGGCAGACTGGCGATGATCGAACCCTACTCTTTCCGTGGGTTGAACTACCTGAAGATTTTAAACGTGTCCGGGAATTCGCTTACCACTTTGGAGGAGTCTGCGTTCCATTCGGTTGGCAATCTTGAGACCTTAGCTTTGTACGACAACCCGCTGGCTTGCGATTGCCGACTTCTGTGGGTGTTCCGTCGACGCTGGAGGCTTAATTTCAACCGGCAACAGCCTACCTGCGCCTCTCCTGAATTCGTCCAAGGAAAAGAGTTCAAGGACTTCCCTGATGTCTTACAGCCGAACTACTTTACGTGTCGCAAATCCAGAATTCGGGATCGCAAACCTCAGCAGAAGTTTGTCGACGAAGGGGCAATTGTTCACTTCTCTTGCCAGGCCGATGGAGACCCTGCTCCGGTGATCATGTGGTTATCCCCTCAGAAAAAGTTCATCACTACCAAAACCATCGGTCGGATTTCGGTGTTGCCAGACGGTACTCTTGAGGTACGCTACGCCCAAATCCAGGACAACGGTACTTACGTGTGCATAGCTAGCAACGCAGGCGGGAACGATACATCTCTGGCCCATTTACACATCCACAGCTACTCCCCCGACTGGCCACACCAACCCAACAAAACTTTCGCCTTCATCTCCAACCAACCAGCCGATACCGGAGTGAACGAAACCCGACCAAATGTCCCCTTCCCCTTTGACATAAAGACGTTGATTATCGCGACCACCATGGGGTTCATATCATTCCTCGGCGTGGTCTTGTTTTGCCTGGTGCTGCTGTTTCTGTGGAGCAGGGGTAAAGGTAACACCAAGCACAATATCGAGATCGAATACGTCCCGCGGAAATCGGACGCTGGGATGAGCAGCACTACGGTGGACGCTCCTCGGAAGTTTAACATGAAGATGATCTAAAAATGGAATATAATCGTTTTCGGACTTGTCGTATAAGAAAAAGAGGAAGGCAAGACTCTATCCTTTCTCTTACAAACCTGTGGATCCTGGTCTGTTAACATAAGAAGTAACTTTTTTCTCCTGACTGAATCACAATAGAGAGGACTACGTTTCTAAAGCAAGAGGGACTGACGGTGCGTTCGATGTTTCAGAGCACAATTTGTTTTATCACGACCCATAATTACATCGAATCAGCTACAGTAATATTATAATGAGCTGTAGCAAAAGCAAATTCGATTCAGTCAACTGGACAAAGGTTTGAAGTTGACTAAATTGAATGTTCTTTTGCTATGGAACCTACCTGGTCAACTAAAGGGTTTACACAGACATTACAAATTTAAAATACTGGAAATGTTTCATGCAGACAAATACGACATTATAATTTGACTGTTTTGCGTCTGTTCATTTCAGTGCATTTTTTTTTTCTTTCTGAGGTTAGATGTCAAGTTTTAAATGAGCTTTCTATGGGCCGATGAGTACACTGATACATGTTGACCCATTTGAAGTACGCAATTATCCGAACACATTAGCGGCACGTTGCGGAGTGTGCTTTGTTATTCCCCTTACGTTTAGTGATGACTGTTCTGTACTTAATGTATTGTTGTTTTACGCAAAGACCATGCCCCAGCAATTAGTCTTAACATGCTAAATGGTATAGCGCAAGAGTTCAACAATGGAATAAATGTACTGACGATAACTGCCTCTATCCTTAAAGTGCATATTACAGGTTAGATTCCACATCACTGAAACATTTTATTACCAATTTTATCATTATTTTATTGTTATTATCAACAATATTGTCTAGTTTTGTTTGAAATTTGACTTCCTGATTGAAGCGCAGCAGTTCTGACATACGTAGAGGTATTTCTGTAACTGTTACCTCGCAACTATAATGTTAAGAAGCACTGAAACCATAGACCATATGTAAATGGACATAGTTAACCCACTAGTCGCCACGTTGCAAATAGGAAGTGAGCATGGAGGCGCATGTGGCTCCATCGAGTCTGGCTCTGGTTGACGTTACATAGAAAGTTGTCGCCCCTATTTCTGTAACTGTAATTTGTAATTTCGGTCTTAAAATGTTCGCATTAAAACGCTTTTTACGATCCTGGTGTTTTTTATTTTGCTCAGTTCCTTTTTCTAATACCGGGCTCCAAATACTACACCATAGCTGCTGCTCTCTGTGAGCTTCATTTGATTGGAGCCCTTAGTCCACTTCTTTATACAGTCTGTAGCTAAAACATGAATAAATTTGATATCTTAGATTGTGTTCTGACTGCAGGGCGCAATGTTCAGTTTGGATTTTTTTTGTGAGGTCATTCACAGTTCCATTTAAATGCAACTTGTGTGTGATCTTCAATGTGAACTTTAAACGCCCAAAAGTGTCCCGCATGCGCATTGGAGATCACAACGACATCACACGAAGCGAGCATGCTCAGTGTTTATGGAAGTCGCCGAAAAAATGGGCTTGTCTCCCAAATTACATCCAGTTCTTGGTAAAATGGACATGTTACACATCCACAGCCGCTTCGTTTGTTTGGGTCTTTAGCCTCCTTGTATTTGGCTCGCAGGTTCTTTATTTTCCATTGACTCTGGAGCCAGAACCGCCTGTAGCCGCACTCAGACATTTCTTCAATCAATTTCAAAAACTGATAAGACCCCTCCAATTTGGCCTGAATACAGAGATCCCCCTAAATATTAATAAACTCGCTAACCTCGCTTTCCCTCCATCGACTAGACTCCTGTCTGACGTGTATTTCGGAATAATGCATCCTGGCCGTTCACTCTGAAGTCGCATGTCAAAAGATCAGATATGTATCGGTTTTAGGAGCACATATCCAAGTGGCCTGGGTCGCATTTGTCATTAAAAGATCAAATACAGGTCGCAAAGGGCCAAAAAATCGAATTTGGGATTTGGTCACTTCAGGCTGCAGTCTGAACATCACCTACATTACACAATGGTTATAATTAGGCTAAAAAATAATGACAACACACTGATTTTGTTAAATTAAGGCTAAAATTCCTTTCATTTTGTGTAAACTGTTTACATTTTTAGATGAAATGTTCCGTGTTGATGGCATAGGTAGAGGTAGGTTTTTTGTTTTGTTTTTTAACTCAGCGCTACTTCATGTATTTTTGTACTTTTTTCAATGAACTATCACTTAACTGATGTAAAACTATGATACATATTTACCAGATACAGTATCACATCAATAACAATTAGAAAAAAAAAAACATGAAAACCTGTCATACGCACTTTAAGTAACTTTGGTAACCTAAGTAACCTAGAGATATATTGTTAAATGTATAGCGGGTTTACATAAGACTCCCTAATGTTTTTCCTGGAAAGGTGCTATATATAATGCATAGCCCCATATCAGATTCCAGTGTCGATGTCACGCATACATTTTCCCTATATAGCCCTGACTATGTGCGAGCTAAGTCAAAGGTGTAATTTGAATGTGAGAAACAGCGATTAAGCTAATGTTACGCCGTTTCCAGACCAGATGTGTCGTGTGGCATGGGTACGTTGATATTGTACAAGGTTATTCCAATATGAGACGCAGTTTTATGATGTAATGGTATTATGTTGTACTGATGGTGGTTGGAGTGATGACACCAAACGTGATCCCCAAGCTGTAGAACACATCAATGTTCATTATCTGCAATTATTTTTGTTTGTTTTTTTTGCGTGGATTCTACCGTCATTCAAATCATCAGAGGTGGGGAGTAGTCAGTTATATTTGCTCCGTTACATAACTTTTTCCAGAAATTGTACTCTTCTGGGTACAGCATGCTTTTACTTCTACTTGAATCATGTTTTTTACTGAAGCAACGGTGCCGTATTTTTTGGACTATAAGGCACAACGGCTTATAAGATGCATTAAGTGGAACAAAACAGTCAGATAAGTCAAACTTTATTCAACTCATTCACAATAACTCTCGACATTGTTCACTTGTAACACATGAAACACAAAACAATACACTATCTTTTTCAGTTCATTCCTCTTCCACAAATCCATCAAATTCTTCATCTTCAGTAGGACTACGATACATTACGATACATACCTCGATAAAGAGACCACGATATGATACACATCTCGATACAGTGCACTTTTGATTCAATACCATATATTTCAAATCAATTTGATGTGGTTCAATAATAAATAAAGGCTAAATCATGGCTGTGATACTAAAAGTCTTTGTAAACCACTTCTTGGGCAAAGTGAATATGAAACACGCCAATTTTAATCATTAAAACAGTGAAAATGTCAAATGTGTTGCATAAACGAGTTTCCGTCCTCTGAACAAGCAACAAAACTGTAGCACTGTAACAAAATAATGCAGTAAAATATACCAAAAAAATACTTTTGGCGATATATAGATACAGCAGTCCCTGATATCAACTTTATCATCACACTAAACAATACGATATGATCGATATTTCAATATTTTTGGACACCCCTAATATTCACTGTCTGGGTTTAACAGTTGAGGGATTTCAACATCAAGCCCGGATCCCTGTTGTCATTATCCGAGTCAGTCTCATTGCTATTACTTCGCTGTTCAGTGATGCTTCGGACGACACTTGATCCCTTAGCCCAGGCGTTCACGATCCATTGGCAGATTGTGGCGTATCTTGCCCGGCATTGCCTCCCTGTCTTGGTGAATGTGGATTGCTCCGCGAGACTCCCGACTATGGTAGTTGTAATACTCCAACAATCCACCAACCGATGCGGTTTCGTAGTTTACCAAAGTTGTACTAAATCCTTTTGACAGATTTTGAGCGTCGTGTACCACACAAAATCAGTTTGAGGTCAGTAAGCACAACCAGAATTAATACATAAGATGCACTGTCGATTTTTGAGAAAATTAAAGGATTAAATTACAGTGTGCCTTATAGTGCGAAAAAAATACGGTACTTTTACTTGAGTAGAAGCTTTGGTTTCTCTTCCCACTGTGAGTAAATCTACAACTGACAAAAGTTTTATGTTGACAATATGAAATGATTTAGACATTTCTTTTTATTTTGAGCAACACTCCTTTAGATATAATGTCGTTTTTTGTTTTTTTTCCCCTCATTTTTGTGTCCTTTTCTCATTCAAATGAACAAATTAACTTCAGGTACAGAGTGTAACTTTTTGGTTGGAGGTCTGTCACCTGCTTGTTTCTACGGAGATGTCATTGCTCTGCACGGAATGTTCCACAGTATGACATTAAACAGTTCTACTTTACATTTATTCAATTACAGGTGATTTTATTGCTCAAAAACACCTAGAAAAACAGACATTCTGACTGTGAGCGGGGTCGCCTCTGCACAGATCTGACCTGTAACTTGGCCTAGTTTGGTCTCCAACAGGTTTAATGCCATACAGTGAAACATTCCAGACAAAGCAATAACGTCTCCATGAAGAAAAGTTATACGATGCACCTACTTGAGTAAAAGTTTTCCCAAATTTGCTCTTATTTGAGTAGTTTCTTGGACCACTGTATTTTTTTATTTATTTTTTTACTCTAACTTGGGTACAATTCCTGACTACTCTCTACCTCTGAAACCACGGATACATTAGCCGGCCCTTCTCCTGGGATCATATTTTTTCCAGCTTACAAGTGAAAATGTGCTGTTTTGACAAGGAAGAGAAATAACGGACTAACTGGGTTTGCTCAGAACGGCCCTGCATATGTATGGGAGGTACACGCAGCCTTTACCACACCTCGGACATCTGGTGCTGGCAGTCTCTCGCTCGGATAAAGGCTAAATAATGTATGATGGATGACATTACAGACAGCGCCGCGTTAATGGGCTGGAAGTGTGGACCAAAAATGCAGATGCGCCGGCGGTACACAGATGGAGCAGCTCGCGAATGAGGACAAAACTCAACAGGAAACAGTGGAAATACTCGGAATGGATTGATCAATGGTTACTCTGGTCCCTCTTGCTGATTTCTGAATGCTCTCTA